GCAGAAATAAAGCACAATTTTAATGCAAATATATTAAAGAAGCTACCAAACTAGGTATAGAACTGGAATGCAATGAAGTGGCAAAGAGCATGTATTTAGGTGAAGGAACAGGTGTTAAGCAAGATTGAAAGAAAATGGTATATAAAAAGCAAATTGAACAATATTATATTCATAGAACAATTGCTTGATTAACACTTTTAACTTGGTGCCAAGTAAAATTTTTAAAAGAAAACAAGGGCAAAGAAAAGAAGCTCTCTTGGCTTTTACAGCATTGAGAGTGTAGTGATCAATAACCAGGCAACAAGAGAGGTGCATACAAGATATAGATACGGGAAAAAAAAGCAAGTAGCTTTATTGCCCTTACTTCAACATGTATCTGAAGATAAAAGAAAAGCAGAATAGGTTGTACTAACAAATGAAAAAGATACAACAGATTTGGGCTAGGTAGTTAAAAAAAGGAGTAAACGAAAGATAGAAATAACACATTGGAAAAGAGAAAAAGAAAATATAGACATTTATGACAAATGTCAAGGCTGTAGTTTATCTAACATGCAGAAACTCAATGAATGCAAGATAGGTTTGAACCTAAAGAATAAGCAAAGAGTATTAAAGAAAAACTGCATTAAAAAGTAGAGAGAAAGCAAAATCTTGTGTGAGGTGCCGTTAGCAAATTTTAGCAAAAGAGCCAATATACAGACAGATACACCCATCTCATTACCAAGCTCTACAGTATTAATCAAAAAACTTAGAAGAAGATCTAATTGACAGATATATAGTGGAGCAGGTATATAGAAAGAAAACTCAGAAGTCACTGCAAAAATTGATTGGCTATGCAGAATTAGATATCTATACAAGATGGCTCTTTAGAGAGTGATAGTAGAAATAGAGAGCTGAGAAAAATGGGTATAGGCTGGGTTGCAGCCAAAAAGGACACAAAAGCAGTATTAGAGCATTTTTCAGGTACAATAAAAGATTGGCCTTCCTCAACAAGAGCAAAAATAGATGCAATAGAGCTCGTATTATTAGCAGTATTGAACAAATGCAGAGTATAGATTTTTACAAATAGTGTAAATGCAATTGGTATTATTGAAAAGGTTAGAGCTAGCCCAAATGATACAAAAACCACTAAGCTCAAAAACAGAAGTATCATCACAATGGTGATTAATTTAGTTGAGATAAAAGATATTAATATTAGTTTCATAAAGGTGAAAAAGTATAGTGGGTTAAACTAAATAAGGTAGCTAATAAGCTAGTGAAAGAGGGAAATAGCACTAAAGAGTGTTGCAGCTTTAAAGTAAAATGGTTCAAAATAGTGAAGGTGCTACCGAGGTGGGATGATTATATTATTAATATATCTATTAGAGAAATAATAGATAACATAATGAAAATGTATTATAGTATGGGTTGGATAAATAGCAAATGTATATATAGTTTAATTAGAAGTAGTACAGAAGAGAAGTGGTTAGACTGGAGAGAAATATAAGGAATGCAAAGAAAAGAGGTGGGACATAGATACAGAAGCTTAAAGAATAGTTACAGTTAGGTTTTTAGAAAAGGTGTATAAATGGTTGCTGCCAACTTTGAAGGTGCTTCATGGAAAAAATCCAAACCTCTACCCATTTGATTTTTGTATTGCATGCTTTTGGGAAAAAGATGATTTAGATTACTTAGCTATATGTGAAATATATGAGAAATTGTGAAATTGAAGCATTTAAGGATGCTAAAAAAAAAAAGTCAAAAGAAGAACAAAAAGAAAGCAAAAGAAAGATATGTAGTATTACAAAAGAAGAAATAATAGGAGATACTTAAGAGACTAAATATAAAAACAGAGTTAACTATATTAGAGGAATCTTCTGGGAGCTCAGAAATGAGAACAGATTGCTAAGAGAACTTTGAATGATTTATAACTACAAGCTACGAAAAGCTTTCAAGAAGTAATTTGGCGTCTTAGATGTGAAGCTATAAATGAATAGAAGCAAGGCAGAGGCATTACAAACTCGCAAAAAAGAAAACAGGATGAGAAAAGTGATCCAACATACAAAAAAACCAAGAAGAGGAAAACCCAAGAGGCAAGAGTTAAAGGAATTTTAGCAAAAGAAGCAAATCAAAAATTGTGAGAAGAGACAAAGAAAGAAGTTAGAAAAGTAATTACAACTAACATTAAATTGAAGTAGTCAGGGCTTTATAGACCACACAGTTACAAAACTTAAACACAGTCCTGACAAGGCTAGCAACTACTATCCAAGAATCTAATGGATAATCTTTCAGCAAGTTGAAAGCCAGAAAGGAGGAAAAGAGTTGCTGTAGCAGATCACATCTGGGCACCTTTGAGCAGCTAGGTAAGCTTTTATTGAAGAGAAGGAAGGGTTGTTGGCATTAGCTAGGAACTTATATATTTAGATTACATATTCCTTATACAATAAAGGCAGGATTGCCAAAAAAAAAAAAAAAAAACAAAAAAGTTAATTCTATTATTTTCTAAAAATTTTTATTAAAAATTAATAAATATATAGTCAATGCATATTTTCTAAGTGCAGCTTCTCTTTAAATACAATTAAATAGTCTGGTCCTGTGTTGGGCCTTATAACATAAATACAAGTTCTTTATTCTCTAAGTGCAAGATTTTTTTAGCCAGCATATATAAAATTATTTTCTCTAATTGCAAGATATTTTATTAACCAATTAAATTAACTTACTTAATTAAAGTTTTTTTTTCTAAGTGCAAGGTATTTTTTTTAATTTATAAACTTGTAATTTAGAAAGAATTAATTATATATTAATTTAGTTTTCTTTAAGTGCAAGTTCTCTCTAAATGCAAGATATTTTGCTAGCCCATTGACTTGCACTTAGAGAAAGTTGACTATAATTACTAATTAAAATTTCTTATTATTAGACAAATTCATTTAATTATGCATTTTTTTTACTCTAATTTTTCAATTTTTGAATAACAAGTAAATAAAGAAGGTTTGTTTTATACTATATGAACAATTCAATTAATAAAAAATATTATTATATGCTGGCTGGTATAAGAGTTAGAAATAACTTTATTAGAAATAGATAAGATTGATAAGGAGTAATAAAAACTAAATATTGATGTAGTGAGTTAGTAGAAAAAAAAAATCTTGAATTTGAACTTTAAAAATAAAATGTGATGTAATATATTCAAAGAATCAAACATGCTTCGATATGACAAAATTATTGAAACCAACTGTGATAAATTAGTAAATCACACTTTAATATATTGTTAACTCATAGTTAGTGTTCGAAAACAAATTAAAAATCCTGGTTGATCCGGGATTAATCCGAATCCAATCTGAATCTGTAATTCGGATTGAATCCGACGGTTGATCCGCGGTTTGTCACAATATTTGTCACAATTTATGTGATAGATTCGAATTTGTCACTTGATAAATTCGAATATATCATATAAATTGTGACAAAAAGTATGATAAGTATAAAGATGACCTAAAATTAAGCCAATTCCCGATTCAGGGTCCAAAACTAATCCGACGGTTTGGATCTGCACAAATCCAAATCCGATCCGTGCTGACTTTTTCGAACACTGTTCATAGTATAGCTTCGTATTGTTTTTATTATAAAATAATGCATGACATGGAACTTTGTATGTTGATTGGATAAGCTTGATCATATGATATCATTCGACATATTAATGTAATACATCTAATTTTGAGTCCATGCACTTAAACATTTTTGATTATTTGTATCTAGAATGCGTAATTGAGTGTGGGAATTTTGGGCTTATTATTATGCACTTTACCACTTTATTGTTTTGAATTGGCATATCCAAAAAAACATGATTGGAATATGAGAATAATGATGACTATTCTAACATTATTTTCTAATTATTATTATTTCCGATTACCACATTCTGAATTCCTTCTAATTATAACTGCAAAATTCTAAATTAGTCATTTTTTTATGACTTCTAACTATCTATTTTTCTGTACCAATGTTCGTCCATTTAACCATTTTTGGGTTTCCTGTGAATAATTTACAAATGTTATGTAATGCATATCAGATATAGTAAATGTAGTTATTGTATACTTATTATGTGAGTATCTAGCCATTTTTTCATGCATGTTATTGGGTCACTTCTAATACATGATACACAAACTTTGCTCACCTCCTATCGAAATTTGTTTATCACGTTTAAAAATGACAAACAAGATGCATGGCTAGGTGCTTACGTCAAAAGTATACAATAACAAGTAATTATTTATTCATAATTGATCTATGAATTAATAAAGATATGACGAATCAAGAATTGATTTTTAAAAAATTCAACTTTCACGCTGTGTATTGTCAGAATAGTAAGGTTTGTAAGAGAATTTTTTACAGCAACTCACGCACATATTGTAGTTATATGAATAATAAGCCAGTTCTTACACATAAATTTTCTTATATATAAAAACCATGATAATTTTGTTGTAAATAAACTCAATCTTAACTATCTATGTAAGTGTGCGACTGAATTTTTTATAAAAAAACTCCTAATAAAAAGCTTGGTAATTCCACTACAAACTAACTCACCTTTTCTCAGTAGAAATTATGATAATTCTAATCAAACCAATTCTAAATTTAATAATTTTTATTATGTATAAAGGTTTTTTGGACCAATCATATGCAAGATTTGGAACGACTACTGAGATTAAAAGCGAATCATCGTAAAATTTCTTATGAGATACTTATTATTGCTTATCAGTTTTTTATATAGTTTACTTTATGGGTCTTTAGATAATTTACAAGCTCTTATCAATCTACTATATAGTAATTTAGACCATCACATTTAATTTTAATAGTCACAATGTTCCGACTGGAAAATTTCGCCCATACGCTCCTAATTACATAACAATTATGATAATTCATACTTATCTTTTTGATTTGTTGAATTGATGAATTTTGCAAATTATTTCTTTTTTGTCCTCGAGTTTTATAAATCCGTGAATTCGTATCTCATATAACAAGAATAAATAAATGCCTTAGTAAAGAAACAACCCTCCTTCTAATGTTGATGGTCTAGAACCAAAATCGGCAATAGGAATAAGAAGTCTCTTCCCGAACTGTAATACTGGGCCACATTCAATTTTGGGTTTAGTTCTTAAATCTACTTTGTCCCATTTTTTCAAGTCAATTGTGTTGATTGTACATTGTATAGACTATGTGTATATGAATAATTTTTTATTTTTCAACATAGATAAAACAAGAAGCATTGAAGAAGATTTTTACAGGAGAGAAATAAGTACCAGAAAACATTAGCCAATAGAATCTATTGAGGTAATTAAGTTTTATATCTTTAGATTAGATGTTGTTTATTTGTTTCTCTTTTTTGTTATCTAATATATATATGCTTGTATAAAGAACAACTTCTTTTTTAATTTTCAACATAGATGGTAGACATTGGACCAAAATCACTGGTTACGGTTTAAAAAACAAATAATATAAAGATATCTATCATATACTAATAGATATTATCGTTACTACTATAAACATTACCAAATCTAAATTAGCTTTGCAGCTTTTACATAATAGAAAAACTAAGATCACTTAAAACGTGATAATTATATTTGAATATGAGTATATGAAACCTGAATTAGAAAATCTTGAGTTAATTGCTTAATCGAGATAGGTTGAGTCAACTCGAATTAAAGACAAACCACCATGATTACCCCTAAGATCTAAAGATATTAGGGTGGTGTTCTTGCAAAGTGCATCCGATAATGCATTTTCTTCTACTAATTCAAGATCATTCAAATTAAGATTTAAAGAAGTCAGTGTGGTATTCATTAAAATTGCATTTGCTAATGCTTCAATACATTCCGAACCAATCTTATTATTTTGAAGACTCAAAGAAGTTAACGTAGTGTTCTTGCAAAGAGAATTTGCTAATGCTTTTCCTCCTTCTGATCCAAGATCATTACAACCAATATTCAAAACCTTTAGCGTGGCGTTATTGCAAAGCGAATCCGCTAATGGTATTCCTCCTTCGGATTCAAGTTTATTACTTCGAATGTTTAAATAAGTCAGCGAGATGTTATTACAAAGCGCATCCGCTAATGATTTTGCACCTTCTGGTCCAAGATCATTAAAACTAATATCCAAATCTTTTAGCGTGTTGTTCTTGCAAAGCGCATTTGCTATTGCTTTTCCTCCTTCTGATTTCAGATTATTATTACTAAGATTCAAAGACGCCAATGTATTGTTCCTGCAAAGTGAATTCGCCAATACTTTCCCTACTTCGGGTCCAAGATTATTATTATTAAGATCCAAAAAAGTCAGCGTAGTGTTCTTACATAGTGCGTTTTCTAAAGCTTGTCCTCCCTCTAATCCAAGATTATTATTATAAAGATGCAAAGAAGTCAGAGTAGTGTTCGTGCAAAGTGCTTCTACTAAAGCTCTTCCTCCTTCTGATCCAAAATTATTACTATAAAGATCCAAAGAAGTAAGCGTGGTGTTCTTGCAAATTGTATCGGCTAATGCTTTACCCCCTTCTAATCCAAGTTCATTTCGACCAATATTCAAAGAAATTAGAGTTGTATTCTTGCAAAGTGAATCCGCTAATGCTTTTCCTCCTTCTGATCCAAGATTATTATCTTGAAGATCCAAAAAAGTAAGTGTTGTATTCTTGTAAAGTGCATTTGCAAATGATTTTCCACCTTCTGGTCCAAGATCATTATCTTGAAGATCCAGAGAAGTTAGCGTTGTGTTCTTGTAAAGAGCATTTGCCAATGCTTTTCCTCCTTCTGATCCAATTTCATTAGAAGAAAGATCCAAAGAAGTTAGTGCGGTATTCTTGTAAAGTGGTTCTGCCAACGCTTTTCCACCTTCTGATCCAAGGTTGTTAAGATTAAGATACAAAGAAGTCAACGAGGTGTTCTTACAAAGAGCATCCCCTAATACTTGTCCTCCTCCGGGTCCAAGATTATTAAAATTAAAATTCAAAGAAGTCAACGAGGAATTTTTGCAAAGAGACTTTGCTAACACCTTCATATCTTCAATATCAATCTGTTTGTGAAAAAGATTTAAAGAAGTCCAAGTAAAATTTTCATAAAGGAACTTTGCTAATGCATCAATTGTCTTAGATTTAAAATCGTCACTAACATTACATAAATCCACAGAGGTAATAGTAGTGTTCTCATGAAGACTTTCAAATATTAATCGATTACAAATAATTTCATTAAGGCTTAAATATTTAAGGTGTTTACCAGTTCGTAGAAACATTGCGACAAAAGAACTTTTCATGGCATTTGCAAGCTCGCGTCCTAAATCATATTTTTTATAACGAAGCCAATTTCCAATTCCATGATCTAAATAATCACTAACGCTTGTAATATAACTTGTGTATTCAAACAATAGATTTTGATGATTTGGAAGTGAAATTCTAAAAGGAATTAATAAAGTTTGTTCTTTAGCATTTAATGATAAAAGGAGTATTCTAATAAGTTTTATATTTTTAAAATATCCTTTTGGATCGTTCCATAATATCGGTATAACTATTCTGCACCAACGACGGTTTACAAGAGCACATGAAAATAAAATTTTAAATTTAGGCCGGAGGTTATTAAATATTATATAGTAGCATTCTACCGGTAATGTTATCATATTGAAAAAAAAAAAACGATTAAAAGAAATTGAAAAAACGAAAAAAAATTTTGTTGCGAAACATTGTTAAATCATTATTGTCGATCCTCAAGCCACATGTCTAGTTTTAATCTTGTAATCAGATAACAATGTCATGACTAATTTTTTTTTATGTAAAAATGTTTTTTATTATTAGAATACAGTAGACAAATCGCAAAATCATCCCAAATTAGGTCTACAATAGGTAAATACACTGATCAAAACTAACAAAAAATACGTAAGATTATACAATTATATGATTTGAATAATGGTATTAAATATACTCAGGTCTAATACAGTACGTTATTTCTTGATTTTGATTGTTTAAAAATCATATATTTTAATGTTGACAAAAGATTAATCTGGGTAACCCGAGTAACGGTAGCGAGAACAGATTAATTGATTGTACGAGTCACCCAGGCATCATTTATACAATTTTTACATCGCTTGCCCAAATTGCTCTGATCTCATGATACAGTATGTAGCTGTGACAATCATATTCGAAGCAAATCTGTCAAAAGTACAATCAAACCAGCAGTACAATTGTAATTAGAGTTAGGGCGTTCTCAAGCATCTACCTCAATGAATTCAATAAAAAATCAGATCGGCTAGTTTGGTCTAACAGACCAATCAGATTCGTTATTGAGTCCATTGAGGTAGGTGCTTGAGAACGCCCTTAGGCAAACACATCATTACCTCATAAAGATCATAATTATAGCGTTTTATAGTAAGTTCAATATTGAGAATTTTTTATATTTTCTTATGATCATTCTGCTACGTATTTTTTTACCATAAGTATATTACTACTTAATTTTAAATAACCTTAATTTACAAATAATTGTATGTTATATTTATACAAAATAGCTATATGGGGTTTTTGCCTTGAAAATCACGTTATGGAACATATGATTTACTATGTCTCATAACGTGATTTTCAAGGCAAAGACCCCATATGTTATTTTTTTGCATCGAGAATATTGAGAGCATAATTTATAGAGTAATAAGAATTTTTTTCAATGTAAATTGAGTCATCAAATTTTAAAAATATCTTTTCGGATTCAATATTTTTTCGTCTTTCCATTTCGTAAAAATATAAATTTATATCACAATTGACGGTTTTTTGGGCATTTATCCCAACATTTCTTCATAGAATTGCGTTCTATCCTTAAAAATAGATGGACTTAACATATCTCTATTTGAAGTTGGTGATTAAACCCTCGGTTATAATACCCAATTTCCCATATAAAATTTCCCATATAAAATTTCCCACTTAATAATGCCGAATGAGTAAAATGTAGTATACGGCTTTTCACGTGCAATGTATGGTAAAACTTCCTCTGACTTTATCTTAGACGCTATGTTCGATTGTGTTGAAAGCCAATATATGTACTATATAAATTGTTTGTAAAATATTACTACTGCGAAAATCTAAGTGAATAAGTTTATGAAGTGAGCTATCAGAAATCACCCATCATTACAGTGCCAAAACAAGAATTTAATCTTTAGAAGCATAATCTCTTGATTCTAAAGCATTTGAAAATGAAAGGTTTTTATAATCAGTATTGCAATATGCTTTTAGCTTCTGTTTAAGAGAAATTACGAATAAAAAAATAGATTAAAAAAAACTACCTTTCTTATAAACTCATCTTGATATTCGTTAAATCCATGTAATAATTTAATCACAGCAATTCTTTCGGCTCTTAAATTAATATTTATCCATTAACTCCATATACTGTTGCTTTAACTTCATTATAGGAGAGTCCAAAATAATAATTGCTTAAATTACCATCGTTTCAGAAATTTTATTTATCCATTCACTTGTCACTAAAAATTCATTAGTAAAAATAACAAATAAGTAAATTGAATAATAAATTAACTGGAATTTGAAATATTTCTCCAATCATCTCCAATCATAAATAAAAATAAAGCGTTATAAATATAATTTATTAATAATACAGTAAAAAAAATAATGACTACTTTAAATATTCTACATTTGATGTTTTTTGTTGCCACTCATTAGATTTCTATATCTCTCATTACTCATATTCCATTTTTATAACAAAAATGGGGAACATCAGGTAATGCAAAATGAAGAAATTAACTTTGTGTGGCCTTATCATAGTTATATAGTTTAATTAGCAATTCTTAAATGTGCGTCAGGTTGATGACGCATTAACTAGCCACAATGATCTCTTTATTTTAGTGTGTGTACAGTGCATTCGTAAATTTCTTTTTCAACGAAAACTTTCACCATGTGCTTCATCATCCATTCTGTACTTTGATTGTTTTCTATTTTTCTTCTGTGAATTGAAGACATAACATAAATAATATAACTTTTAAAATTTTTAATAAAAAGGTCTGTTATAAAGAGAGTTGACCGTACTTAATATGTAGTAGAGTATATTACAGTAATTTCGGAAGATAACAAAGCTTATAAAATTTAATTATAAAAGTAAACGTCTTTAACATTAAGGAACACTAGTATTATTCTTTTTTTAAGATATAATTCAGCGTAGATTATTTTCATTTAAAGAATTCTTTTTTTTTGTAAACTATATAGTACATGTTTATTTGAGGTTTATTATTATCATACTTTTAAAGGCATTATTTTTTTATGCGCGTTTTGGTCTGTAAAA